TAAATTGTTTCGTTTAAATGATTTTCAGTTAACCTAATCAAAACCCAAGATACAAAGTTTTTCTACTTCAAACTTTATAAAACCTAATTATTGATTTCAATTGTAAGTAGGTTAAAGACAGCAAACTCGTTTAAACATATTGTGTGTTTACGTTATCGTGGTATGTGTATAAAGACAGCCAAGTTATATAAAAAGGACTAAGTTGTGTTATTATAAATAGATGAGACTAAATAGATGACTTTGTAAAGCTTGAGCTGGGATCCTAATGAAGGAATCATGGAGCCAATAACAATAATAGTGTGGCTTCTGTTTCTTTTTTGTTTTTGGCAAAGAATGGTATCCTCGCTCATTCTGTTCTGTTTCCTGGACTCATTGTCCAACAAAATTTACAAAAAAAATGTCATTGACGTAGGAAAAAAACAGCTTATCCTCCGAGCCACAAAAAAACGAAATTATTACAGAGTTACATCATATTGTTGATTGGCAGGATATGAACGTGGATCCTTAGGAAATAAGTACAGCACTCTGACTATTAACCCAACTTTAGACTTAGCATCCCATCAAAATGTTGGGTGGATTTTACTCCGGATATCTAACCACTAAATAAGTCATAGATAATAAAATCTACGCTGTAAAATTATCATTTTGATTTCATAATATCACTGATCATAATAATTGCTACACTGTATTCTCACAGAAGCACCTTACAAACTTCACCTTTACAACTAGTTCCAACCCCGATGCAAGAGAGACTCGGTAACGTTTAAGTGTGAATTTCGTGCAGTAGTCTGAAGTGAGAATGTGGGGCCTGCTGCTGACTTGAAGGGTGATTGACAACTATATCGCGGTGGTAGTACATCATACCGAGTTTATAAATAGTGCTGTCAGAGGAGTACAAGGTAATTGGTAGATAATGGCTGCCGACCGCACTGGCCATTAGATCATGCGGGGTCGAAGAGGCTATCCTTCATGTGGACGCGTGGCCAGTATAAATGGCACTGTAAATGGCTATGTTAATGTCAATGCAATTGTAACTGTTCGTGATAATTAGCAATACGTAAATGGGGTGGTTGGCTAAGTTAATTTCTTTGTTATTGGTAATATTAGTTAGCAATGGGTCTAGATATTTCTTTTACATATATTGTAGTAAATATACTAAATGGAAAGGCCAACGTAAGGTTTAACTATGCATGAACTCCCTCATAGCAGCATATGCAATAGTGCCACAAAATGGAGTAAAGTGTTGTAAGTAAGGTGCGTTACGAAACATTTAAATCAAAGTTTACTACCAGCGATAGGTGTACATTTGTTGACTTGTGGCCCCTGAAAATTGGGGGTTTCCATTTTTACTCTTGGTGTGTCAAAAGTTGTTAGTTTTTTGTTATAATTGCTTCACATTTCAATTATATATTTATGCAGACGACTTTACATGCTTTATAAAGTTGTTATTCAACTTTTCTTTCTGCCTGTCAATCGCTCACACCGTGGGAGTCAGCTGTGATGATGCCGGGAATTCATAAAAACGATTGTCAATAAACATAGATTCATTGAAGGAAAATCACTACGTATAAGATAGGGATTTTTACGCAATCCTCAAACTTAATTGAACCAAACACAGTGTTAGATTGATAACACCGAAATCTGCTTCCCTGCGATCTGCCTTAAAATTACTAACGTTGACTTGGGTCAATTTGAATTTATAAAGCTATAAATCAGCCACTTACGCTCTAGAGATGGTCTGATATATTTCAGTGAATATTATTGGTGAGATCTTGTTGATATGAAGGTAATAGCCAGGCAGGCAGCGCGTTGTCCGAGTGTGTTATTACTTTGATGAATGGCCGATCCTGTTGCTGCGATCGTAGCAAATAATTTTAAAAGGTCTAATTTAGGACAAACTGCTCATTTCGGTACGCAAAGTGTGTTATTTCGGAATAGTGTTTAGGAAGGTATGCCGGGCAGACTTGGAACGTCGTTCGATACTTAAACGTTTTCGTGTGGAAATTAAACATTGCGTTGATAATGTTGGTTGTTCATTTGTGTTAAAAATGCCTAGCAAAATGTTTAAACATTCCTAGATTTATAATTTTATAAACAAATATTGCAATCTGAAAAAACGATTGTTAGAAGTAATTTCGAGCCTGGGAATCGTATAGTCAATCTATTGATTTTTAGGTATTTTAGATTTTTGGATTTTATAATGTTGTAAATAGGTACTTCAAGTGTTTAGCATATATGTGTCTTTATTTGAATTCGGTATTCGGACTTTTAGTACTGTAAGGACTTTAAACTTATCGAAACATATGGTGACGTTTATCTCATCAGAAAAAACAAATTATAATTTAGCTTATAATGTCTTACAGTTTACCTATCTGAAATCTTAACCATCAGCTGATCTTCAAACTAATTATGACCACAAGTTAATTACGTCAACTTCCAAACAGCTGATTAACTGACCACGAAACAGCTGACTGCACGAGGGCGACTACAGTATAACAAATGGTCCCTACCGGGCTCCCGCTCAACAGGTATTCTAATGGTCGCCAATGGGGCTTCTAATGAGACTTCTAATGGCAGCGTCCCAATATTTTCGTTCCTCGATCAATATTAATTACAACACAGCTTCATTGAATAAGCCGCCACGACCAGTTGCCGTCTTGGCGTGAAGATCGGTCAAATTTGACAGGTGGGAAGACCGGCGTATGATAAATAGTTACTACTTTCTACAAGAGCTTCACTGCTTAAAATACCTGTTCATGTAAGTAAACTAAATGTACATATACAGTTTGTTAATTTTAAAATATTCTTATCACAAAACATAGACAAGTTAAATTCAGTTTAGTACGATGCTGACACATTATAGTGTGTATTTCGAGGTTACACTGAAGGATGAGTGCATAACATATGAGATTATGATGATGGTAATAGATTTGTCACAGACTCATATCAGCTGACTCTTTATGAATTGAACCCCCTGACTCATTTACGCATTAATAAGATGTGACGGCTCAAATATAATCCATACAATCAAAAGCCAACTGATAAACGACAGTTAGCCCATTTTTAGACAATCCAAATCAACTAGAGATTTATAGTAAAGTAAAAATTGTAGTTTAAAGCTTTATTAAACCCATATATAAATCCCAAAGTACCCATGAACTCTTAAGAAAACTAAAAAAGTCATACCCCCATAAACCATATACATACTTAAAAAAATATTCGTCATGACGAGAAACCTTGCGAAAAACTATCCATTATTTAATAAATTTCCCTTTAACGTTGTAATTCCTTTCTACATGGATCTTTTCACATACCTAATGTAAAAAATACCTCAGATGTACTTATTTGTTAGTTATTCTTTCAATTTATTACCTTATTTAAATCAGGTGTGATTATTTGTCTTTATTCCTGTATTCTGTTTTGTTATTTCAGCTTAATTTAAACAATCAATAGTTTTGTCAAACAGGGGGAGGCCCGTCGGTAACAGCTAGTATAACATAATATCAGCATCAATAGCAGCAGTAACATTCAAAAACAGATAACTACAACACATATAGTTACAGATGACATGATAACATCACCAGCAGTTGGAGTGTAAAATTATAACAGCATTATACTGCATTAGTTGCAGTATCAGTATCACAGCCCGGAAGCAGTCAGCCGTAGATACGGAAGCTGAGTTATTATCTGATTAATTATCTTAAAATATGTTAATGTTAGCTTATTTACACAGCGTGCCGGGGGGCCGGACGTAGCTGGCCACTGTTGGCTGGGCCGGTCTATACTGTAGCAGCAATGAAGTAAACTATAAACTGTTCAAACTGTATTGGGATAAATCTTTGTGTCGCTTGATGTTACAGTATAACCTTGATAACAAGAGTCTCATGGGGATTGTAAAACAAGACTTGTTTTTAAGGTTGACTTCATATCGAGGTTTGTAATAACATGTGATTAGGGGTAAAATAATTTTAAGGGGATTTGAAAATTACACTTGTTATCAAGGGCTACTTGTTATCGAGGGTCTTCTTATCAAGGTTCCACTATATAGTATTCAAGTGATCAAATGCTAAACTCTAATTACACAACCGCCTATAACATTTTTTTGTTTTTACTATTCAAAATTCGTTTCAAATGGATTTCCTGCCCAGGCACGCTTGAAAGGTGGTAGATTTTTGAATAGATTTTTTACTAAAGATTCCTGTGTGTAGTTTGTAGTACAGTAATTTCAAAACACAACTAAAAATTCAAATATTCAAATAATAAATATTGAACGAATAATTCATTACTATTATAGTTAGCAATCCAATAAAAAAAGATACACTACATTTTTCGATAATAAATCAATTTTCATCTTGTTAAAACCAGTGTTACTGTATCGTTGAATTCGGTTTTTTTACTAAATGTAATGGAGTTGAACGTACAATTTGACGATTCCCCAGTCCATCGCCACAGTCTGCGCGCTCAAACTGGAAAAACTACTTTTGAGTGACAATTTTCACTCCGTTACGTCATCAGTCGACACGGAGGCGAGTGTCAAGGCATTAGACAATCACAGACAAATATGTGAAATCATGAAATCACCTGTTGTAAAAGAATGCCATTCAGCCTTCTAAAAAAATGAGAGAAAAAACACGTACACACAAAGTGTAATATTAAGTCATATTTACCTCAAGATTGTACCCTGAAATTATTTTTTTAAGTAAACCTTACTTAGTTTTATATTTTTTCGATATATTATTCAATTTCCGATACAATGTTCAATATATTGTAATATTGCAACATGTAACCTAACCAAGTACGGTACATTATTCAAGTTGACTCTATTTTTATACGGACTATACCTGTTTAACAGAATACAATGTGGCAAGTAACTTATTATTAACACTTGCTTATTCACTAGAGTAGTTGATAACCTGATCTTTATTAATTACCAACATTCAAAACGATTCTCAGTGTTCATGCATTGTATCTTACTAGTCTAAGCCTACCTGTACACGTACCATGGTTCGTTTGTTGGTCCGTCGACATCTTCGCCTGCAAAGAAACAAAAGTACGTTATTAAAACAATCGGAAATAATCTATTTTTCAGCGACTCTTAGTAAATACAAAGTGGACATAATTGCAATAGGTAATGGCAAAAACTCCATAATAATACTGTACAGGTTTGTGTTATGTTATGATACAATAAAATAGTCTTATAGTAGTTTACACAACGATTGCGTAAAGATAGTGTTAACGAAACAGGTAGAAAATTTAAGGTACGAGTCTTGGCGAGTGCCTTAAAAACTTCTACGAGTGTCGTTAACACTATTTACGCGAGTTGCGTACACTACTTTACCTACGACAGTGCTTTCATTACTAAAAACCACTAATCATAACTTCTAAGAGAGGTTATGTTTTCATTTATAACCTCTCATTGCCACTGACATTGATGTAACGAAGCATTGTACCAAACACTAATTGTGCCACTCAACAATTAAATTGGCCTGAACAGCTGATTAGTTGAAGTTCGAATCATTGCATGCTAAGTGGAACTAAAGGTAGCTTATAAAACAACAATGAATAAATTGAAAAGTCATATTGCCAATCGAGTAGCTCATTATGTGTATTCATGTAATTATACACGATCATAATATGGTTGATAAAAAAGGAATACGTACAACTTTAAATACAGGAATGACCGTAAGGATGATTATATTATTTTTATGAAAGAAATCAAATACAATACTCAGAATTAGAAAATAGATTATAGAAAATAGAAACTAAATAAATTCAACAAAATACGCACTTTATAAATTGAAAAATTTCACTGCTATTACTTTATTTTATATATACTTTAACATTTGATCACATGTAAACTCTCCTAAACCTACGCATATTGTGTCCACATTATGTCCTAGTCAGAATACAAAAGGAGATGAGCAAAATCTCGGTCTAGGTCAGTAGAATGTGTAGGATGCTATGACAAACAGGGAGCAAACAAATATAAATCTTCCAAAACTCAATGTTACACTCTCTAGTTATGATTCTTTATTGCATGTCTTGAGTGTGATTTAGAATAAAGGGAAAATTTAAAATGACACTAGTTATCAAAATATTTGTGATTATATTTGACTAGCTGTTTGACTGGACTTAACCCCGTTTGACTTCATAAGTAATAATAAAATTATTGATTGGTTGATTTAAGCTGAAATAAACAAACCAGAATACAGTAACACAAACAAATAATCACACCTGATTTTAATAAGTTGAAAGAATTACAAAGACATAAGTACAGCTGAGGTATTTTTTATATTAGCTACCTATATGGAAAGTTCTCTTTAGAAAGGAATTACGATCTTAAAGGGCAATTTATGAAATAATGGATAGTTTTGCGCAAGGATTCTCGTCATGACGAACATTTTAGGTATATGGTTTATGGGGGGTGATTTGTAGTTTTTTTCAAAAGTTCATGGGTACTTTGGGATTTATATATGGATTTGAACTTAAACTACAACAATAGTTATTTAGTATGCATTTAGGAGTAAGATTATAGTAAAACACATCCTACTATTTATAGGGGATATTAAATTTTACAAGTTTAGTCTTACTTGACTAATCAATATTCTGAAGAGAAGATGAATTATTTTGGTAATCATAAACTTAGTGATTAAATTTGTTTTTTACATACTACAACACCTGCCCCCAACCCTCCAAGTATTCAATCTGCATTTTATTTAAGAACTATGAAATACATGCGTAAAACTCCATTAAAATACCATTAGCTCTAACACTTTTCATACTTCTAATACCATTTAGCGTTAATATCCTCTAGGGTTATATCTTGGTGATGTTTGATTACTATTAAATTTAGAGAATGTTGCTTTGACTAAGTTTTTTAAAGTAGTGCATTCAGGGAATGTCAGTTAAAATTCAATTTACCTCCATATTGTAAGTTTTCAAATATTAATGAAATAAATACACTCATCTCTGAATGGATTTGAACTACTGAATTATTACTCTATAACCTTTCAAAATTCCAAGCAGAACACGAGAAAACTAAAAGTCACACCCCCATAAACTATATACTTAAAATGTCCATCATGACGAGAAACATTGTGCAAAACTATCCATTATTTCATAAATTGCCCTTTAAGGTCGTCTTTCTTTTCTAAAGGGAACTTTCCTTATACCTTATGTTAAAAATGCCTCAGCTGTACTTTTTTTGTTATTCTTTCAATTTGTTGCCTTATTAAAATCAGGTTACTGTATTCTGGTTTGTTTTATTTCGGCTTAACTTAACCAATGAATAGTTTTATTAATACTTACACGATTTTAAGAAAAAATTATGTATTACTTTTCTCTATACCTGCAAATTTATACGTATTGAATTCGCGGACAAAATGCGAGGTAGCCAGTAAATGTCTCAATCAGGTCAAGGTGGCAAAAGCTGTTTAAAGCCTGCTCTATAAATCTGACAGAGCCATACTGCATTGATATATCTACCTGGATAACAAGTCCAATAGATCGAACCAACTGATAAACGTTACTGCCTAATAAAGTGATCTATTAACATTAAAATCCCTAATGGATGAATAGTAGTGTTTATCCATGTTTAATGTTACACTAAAATATCCAAATTGTGTAATAAACTTTCGAGGTTTTGTTAATAATTAAAGTGGATTGGTAAAACTGTTAATAGAGTTATGAGACTGATTAAACTTGATATAGCATAGTTTATTAATTACTATTGACTATAGTGACTAATTACTAATTAGTTGACTAATTACTATAGTGACGGTGACACACTATCGATCTTTTCCCCGAACAAGACCCCGAACCGAGCAGGGAGAAGGGAGAAGGGAGGTCGAAGGGAGGATGTTCGATAGTGTGTCACGGGTCCGTACACCGATCAAGACGCCGAACAAGACATCAGGCCGAGCAGGGAGACGAGCGCTCTGGAGGCGGTTTTTTGGCGAAAGATCAAAGAAAAGATCGGTCCGATGTACGGTCCGATGTACGATAGTGTGTCACGGTACATTTTTGCCCCGTACATCGTCGCGAGCGCCGCACCGAGCGGCCGCCTGCGCTAGCATTGATAGTTCTGATTTAATATAGCAATTAAACTCTTTAATTGGTAAAATAAATAAATGTTGGGTAATATGTTTCCGTTATATATTATAATCATTTAAGATGTAATGTTTGTGGTTTGTTTGGTCAAGGTTGAAAGTGTAGAAACCGTCAAATCAATTATATCATTAATATTAAGGTTGAATTAAGTAATTGATGTTGACTTAAATTCTTTCAAAAATAATATAAACATTTATATTATTAAAGGCAATTAAAATGATCATTCTGTAACGTTATTTCAATGAATAAAACCAATAGAAATCAATAGATATAACCAAGCATCCTTTCTAGAATATTTTATTTTTGCGACAAGTTTTCAAAATGCGACTTTTAACAATAATTTTTATGTTATAGAAACTTTTTGTTATAGAAACCTCCGCGCTCTCACTCGCACACACTCTCTATCTCTCTCCAAACTTCCTTTTGCCGCGCTCGGTAGAATTCGTCTTGTCTTGGTCATGTTCGGGGAAATGTTCGGAGTAAAATTTTGCTGATATTTATCTCCCTTCTCCCTTCTCCCTGCTCGGTTCGGGGTCTTGATCGGGGAAAAGATCGATAGTGTGTCACCGCCTTTAGACCAAGACTACAAGATCGCGCGACTCATCCTAAACTCATCTCCATTCATACTTAGCTTAAAACACTTACTTTGTATGGTCGCCATTTCACCAAAAATATTAAAGTACCGGTATTAAACAAAATGTTTAAAATTTATCAGGAATCCAGAGTTCTAACTAAACAGGCTAACTAGACGTTTACAATAGTACAATATATTTGGTAAGTTATGTGTATTACAGGACCACCGTTCTAATCCTACTTTAATATCAAAAATATTTCAAATTTTACATTTATGTTTCGATGTGTTTTTATTAAAACTAGAGGCAGTTCAGTGGTAGAAAACTCGTCCAAAAATATGTATTGTACAGACTTCTCTTTTTTCACCCCAAGCTGTAAATAAAACATGTGATTGGAATTTCTTATATTTATGTTTTGATTTTCTCTTTGTATTTCGTTGTTATTTCGTCACCAGCATGGCAACCCATAAGGCCCATGATAATTTCTAAATTTTAAATTCATTTTAGTGCTTATTTTTGAACGTATTTTAATTTATGAAGGAATTTTGCAAATCGACATGAAAACAGATTTTCTTTGCGATGCGAAGGAGCTGAGAAAAAATATTTTTAAGAAACATGCTTGAATATTAATATTTAGATTATAAAACTGTTAAATAAGTCGAAACTTTTAAAATAATTTGTAATGTGTGTTTCAACAAATATAAATTTATCTTTTCCTTAGTTAAGACGTTCAATGTGTATAAAATGTGTACAAGCTTAAAAGAGTTTGTACTTATGGGATACTACGATCGTGAACTGAAGAAATAGGTAACCGTTACATTGAAGTTTGAGACCACTATTATTTGTTAAACGCATAGTTTAGGCAATTAACCCTCGTACACAACAAACTATGATTTAACGTGCTTGTATGTTTCTTTCCACCTTACTTACTGAGCACACAAAGAAATCATGTTTGGTCAAGGTCTACACACATGGGTCAAAAGCTAGTGTGGTTTTTAGAACGTGTGCAAGATTAAGTGATTACCAACACGCAGAATTCCAATCGACTACGTCGGTCGACTTGTCAAGTAGCTGACTAGTTCTGTTACCCGTTATTAGACAGTAATTCTACCAGAAATTACGACTCTCAACAGCAGGTTAATGGTTATGGTGCAACGAGAAATGTCTTTAGCTACTGAGGTTTGTAAAAGCATGTCTTTGGTTGAATGTTAGTTTTAAGGTTTTTATTTTTTTTTTAACTTAAAATTATAATTAATTTTTGTTAAAATTTGATGAGAAAGAAGTGACATTTATACAAGTAATTTTGTGAATCTAGATTCCCTTAGTTATGTTAAAGTAGCCCATAGTGTATTTAAATTAATTCTATAGTAAAATATTATAACATATAATTTTCCAATTCATAGTTCTACAAAAAGGTCCGTCCCTCATATAAAATTACGGATGACCTAAAAACATAGGATCTAAAACTAATTTTGAAAATATATTTTTTTCCAAATACTCTTTTTTCCAGGATTTTTTAGGCTTTTATAACGAAATTTTAGAATGCATGGGATTATTTTTATCATTTAGAAAATTTTATCTTAGTGGTTACTTTCAATACAACCTAAATTATCTTTACATAAGTTTGAATTTCACGAAAGTAATTTTTTATATCTATTTATTTTTCGTTTCAAATATTTTGTGTACAATTTGTAGTATTTATATATCAACTTATTTATCAATAAAAGTAAGTATTTTTTGTTTTGTGTCAGCATTATCAACAATAGTTGTAGGTTGAAAGGAAAAGTTGTTTGAGCTACAGCTGAGTCAATCAAATACCGAAATAACCAGTACACCTATTGCTCCATATACATATTAACCTTTGTCCAACACTATTACAGTAAGGTATTTTAATCCTAGTTAATGTTTAAAATAAATTTAAACATTTTTACTAACAACGTTTTAATTTAGTTACGGTAACGAAAGTCTTTTAAGCTACCATATAATCAATGTTACAAATTGAATTAGCTGTTTTCATTGTTGTATTATTTTCACTTGAAAATTACTGACTCAGTTAATTGGCAAAGTAAAACACCATATTCTGAGGTAAAAGTAAAAGAAAGATGTATCTGCCAATCAATTTTATGATTTGTACAAGCTGAGAATAAATGGAAAGACAAAATAAATAGTGTCTCACTAGTCGTGTGGCATTGGTGATCCCTTGTGTAATTTAGTTACTGACTTAATTAGCTGACAAACTAGTTGATTATTGGTTTAAATCATAACCTTGAAGACAAATAGTTGTGTATAGTTTTTGTCTATTTAGAACTACTACCTTTACGATCAATGAGGTTATTCTATGATTAGTAGGAAAACGTTAAATCCACTCAGCTTCCAAAACACCTTTCGCAGAATACTTGTATCCATAAAAAATACTTATTTGTCCCTAATCCTACAACCTCTTCAATACTTCCTACATTAGCTTTACGACCATCCCACCTCATTTCCTGTCTTATACAAAGTGTTCTAAAATAAATCACGGCAATAAATCGACCATTATGATGTATAATGATGCAATCTGTGCACCAGTTATCAGGTGGTAGGAACCAGTTCGGACCCAAGGACGTTGCAAGGTCATCAAACAGACCACAGACAGACCGCAGTCGTAGTTGAACCGCCTTGTCTGGGTTATGGTCTCTGATTTTCGGGTTGTCATGTAACTGGTCTGAAATAGTGGTTGAATAGTTTGGTGTGCTTTGTTGTTTTGTAACTAATTTTTCCTGTTTACTTCCTCGAACGGTTGCTTGTAATTCATTTGAAGAAGAAGAAGATAAGATGTAAAAGTGTTTTATTGAAATAAAATAACAATGATACAGTGTTTTCACATACACGCAAAGAACAATGCAAAGACCGTCTGTTTTGTGGTTGACATAATGACTTTTACTAATTTAAAACACTTTAAAAGAGTCCATGAATCACACCAAACTGATTTCTACTACCAAATATATACACATAGAAGAAGAGAATAATCAAAAATAATCAAAAATTAATCAAAAATAAAATCGACAGGACATCAAAATAATGGGACATTCCGCTATAAAATAGTACACCGTTTCATCCCGGTTGAGATTTTTGTAATTCATTTGACAGTCTACGATTTTTTAGTTATTGAATTAACATTTAGTGAAATTGAGACAGAAAAATAAACTATTCAGAAAAATATTCTTTAAAAATTGGTTGTACAGTTGTGTAATTTACAATTAGGTACACGATCGTAGTAAATGAATATTCCAATTCCAAAATATATAGTTTATACTTAACAGTTTTTGTTATCTACGCCAATGGAATTGTTTACGCTTTTGAAAGGGAACGGTCCAAACCCTGGCCCTGTTATAATTAAACGTTTACACGTCAACATATTTGTTAGATAGCATTATTAATTCATTGACCAATGACAAATGTCTTTTGGGTCCAAACCTAAAACGACCCAGAAACTATCCTGCTGATAGTTACTCAGGTACTCAGAAAATTCAAACTATCACCACTGGAATCGCAATTTGGCATCTCTACTACGACTAAATCGATTGCGGAATAAAAAGCGAGGATTACTCGAAAGTATTACTAAAGTTGCAAGAAACTTAAACTAGATACCTGTGATATAAATACACAGACAAGAGAAAGAGCGTGGCAATTATTATTCAAAAGGGATCGCTGGTCGCTACAATGCAGTGGCATACTGTATGAGGGTAGAACATGGGACAAGTACGAGTAGATATGCAGTGTCTTGTAGTACAAGTCATTGTCAATGCTAGATTGTAGACAAGTCTGTAGCATGTGATAGTGGTGCTGCATAGATTGTCGGTTATTGTAGATTATCTGTTATCATCTGTCCACATTTATAGGTTCTGAATATCAGCTGTAACAGTATACTGTATAACTTGATACGTTTTTGCAATGTCGCATTTTGCCTTTGATTTACGAATGATTCTTAGAGGGGAGGAGTAGGTATCTATGCAATCAGCACATTACTGTTTATTGCTGTACACAAATTGTATATTTTCACTTATTTTTCTAAAACTCCATTATTAGGAGAACAACTTCATTTGACATTTACAGAACATTTTTGACCAATAATAACTAACTACATTTCACTCTAACTATATCGTATGTCATCCCTAAGTAAGTTTTAATTTCCAAATTATTCCTACTTTGTTATTCTTGTTTTTAGTTTTTACGGATCAAAAATTCATATTTTGTACGACAATTTTATTTTTAGTTTGTTAGTAAAAGGTTGAAGAAGTAAAAGTGTTAAATATTTACAAAATGTTTTATCAATGACCGTTTTATATTTATAGACTAAAAACCAACCAGTAAGGATTTCGGTAATTGCAGTAACTAAAATCCGATACTATCAATAGTAGGGTGATTTTAAAAGCTCACTGGGACAACATACACAGATTCGAATCCAAATTGAACACATCACTTAAAAGTAGTCCTAGCTAATCTCCTGAAAGTTACGAAAAGCAGGCAAAATAAACCAGAGTTATCAGAACGAGGAGCGACTAGCGAGATATGGCTAATGATATGCAAAGCACGTGAAAGTCTGCCATGGAATAATTATACAATTATACAATTTGAATAAACAATCTCGTCCAATTTTGAGTTTGATGATAATCAGCTGTCCAAGGTCAAGCTGGGTCCGGTTGTGGACATCGGTTTATTAATTTTATAAACTCAAAAACCGCTGAACAAGATAATTTGCGGATGTAAAATTGGTAAAAGTATGGGTTTATAATACCCTACCATGTAAGTTAGTGGGTAATAATGCCAGTATAACGTGTAATGGTACCATTACTTTTCGTTGGGTTTAAGGAATTTAATTAAATTTTTTATTATTAGGTTTTGTCCAATGCTAAACATCGTTTGAATAGAATAACTTAATTTCTAACTGGACTTTTTCCAAATTCGAGGACACGACTAAATTTACCTTGATTCAGTTGTTAAAAGTTTTTATTATTTACATCAACGATCACATTTACGTTAACCTCGATTTCCAGATATTTATTTTAAACACCCGCATAGTTATCATAGATTGAAAACCAGTTATTTAGAATACACACTTTTTTATTTAGACTGCTAGTAAATACTGGTATACATTGGATGTCATAAAATAGTATTACCATCCTTGACCTTCAAGAACATATGTTTTAGTGAAAACACAGGCCTGACAATAAGTTGAAATCCTTTAAAAATATTTAAACTTAGAAAACCACCCAATGTTTTAACTTTGGATTGGTTGTTTGTTACGTTCTTTATCAGTATGTGCTATTGGCTACTTGTTCATAGAAACAATAGTATTGTACTATTGTTGGACGCAGGATGTCCTAGTCCTTACCTCGTATCCTTGTTTGGCCATGGACTGTCTTCCCCAGGAGTAATCCATGTCCTTGGCGTGGGGTCCACATTGCTGCAAAACCACAAAAGGTGTTAATTAATCGTTTCTGCAAGACAAATTTAAGACAATTATTTGGATAGCTATATTTAATTTATTTTATTGTTGAATTTTTACAATTTTTACTCATCATTGTATAAGTAGTGTCATACAATGTGGATTGTTTACACTTTACTTCCGCCCGGACAGAATCACTTTGTCGTTGTATAAATTTACGAGACGGATTCTATGCCCGACATATTCGGATAAATTTGAGGGGACTCCGTAACTTTCCCTTCCCATTTACTATATACATGTATTGTCAACGCCCATATTTTTCTTAACAAACGATTTATATTCTTCCATGTAAATCTGCCATAAAAGCTAACAAAACCATAAGAAAATGTATTTGAAAAAATTGCACAAAGCATTCCCCAAGTAGAGCACTCTTAGCATATTTATCGTGACTCCGCTAATCCCGTCTTTATTTAAAACGACAACGAGTGGCATAAATACTGTACATTGATTCGTATATTTTTAAAATATAATTACTGTATGATTTATATGCTATATTTTTTGGACAAAGGGGTGCAATACAATTTACTTTTTTAACACGAAAAATAATACAGTTGAAACTGATGGATAACATACGGAAATTCACTGCATTATTTTATTACTAAATTCCACCCGCATTTTGAATAAATATAGTGCATCAAATTGCAACGTGTAGTAATATCTGACAAGATAATAATTTTTACTAAGCGTTATAATGGCAACTTCCACCGCCATGCAGTTTCACCTGCCTCGCCGCCATTTTGATGTAATATCTGTATTATTTACAACAGCAGCTGGACTTAAACACGAGACTTGCAAAATAATGCAGAATTTCATAAAACGCTGCTAATTTGAACCGAGCTACGTTAATGTCATGTTTAGTTTTGGAATTTTTCTACACCTTTAAATTTAACAATAAAATGTTTTAACAGAATTGTACAAATTCAAATTGTTTCGTACGTATTGCGTTAAATAGGAGTGCAGTTGATGAAAGGATGAAAGGTCGGCACTCCGGGTCGTGGACGCCCTGGTTCAAACCCCAATAATCACCAATAGCGTTTACATCTGTGCGATAGTGTTGTTACCCTGACGTTTAAAACCGACTGTTGTTGAATTTCCTTTTGGGTAAAGAAATGAGTATCGTAAGAGGAGTGAGCTGTATCTTTCGGAGATTCCCCACCTCGAAACCGCACGTTATTTTAAAACAAAAGTATTTCCCTCGTATTTTCAGGCCTCACATCTTTTACAAAATTACAATACGATTTTTCATAAGGCAATTTATTTAGTCATCAAGTCTAATTGTTTCAGAAAAATATAATTTGAATATTGTAATTAACCGAGTCGTACTAAACCTACTCACACGACCGCCACCAATTATCAACCCGCAAGTCTATGACACGCCGTCATAAACAGTTTACAACTCGCCTGACGTTTACCGCCATTTACGTAACTTTGACCATAAACCCGCCAAAACAGGTGATCGACAAAGATGGCGGACAATTAAATGCGCTTGCACACCGGCGTCGCTCAATCATAATTATAGAGGGACGCGCATGCGTCGAACTGATTTATGCAAAATGCAGATAATATCGTTAATCATAAGGAATTGCGGTTCCTGCTACAATTTGCTCGTAAATAAATTAATATGATAGCCGAGGTTAAGTAAACTTGCCGTTAGTGGCTGTGGTTTGGTAGATTAGGATAATTGAGTCTTTGAAATAAAGATATCACAAGAATTGAGCCGTGGTTGGAATTTGCTTGGAAAATTATCGTGTAAAAAAGTTACTTTAGACTACGGTAAAAATAATATCGCGTTTCGATCTTAAATTGGGAGTTAAGGAATAGGATTTAAGATATTCCTATAATTCACAAACTAAAGTCAAGCCGAAGCAACGTTGGTAGTTATGCATTAATGCATTGCATTCACTTTACGTTGGGTCGAAAATACATTGAATACATAGAAAAATATTTGGACACATCCTAGGTACGTATATTTTCTTACTGTTTAAAATTTAATTTAGTTGATAGGTCTATAATACTATAAGGACGTAATTTTCAATGTTCTTAATTAAACCATATACTTAAAATGTTCGTCATGACGAAAAACCTTGCGCAAAACTATCCATTATTTCACGATTCCTTTATAAAGGGAACTTCCCATATACCTCATGTTAAAAATACCCCAGCTGTACTTATTTGTTTGTATTACAGTATTCTGTCTTGTTTATTTCAGCTTAACTTAACCAATCTATAGTTTTATTAATACTTATGAAGTCAAACGGGAAGATGCCCGTGGGTAACAGCTAGTTATAGCATAGATTAAAAGAAGTAGACATACTCCTTTTATCTATGGTTATAGTTAAATACGAATCTAAAACTGTACAACAGCCCACTGTGCATAAACATGACCAACTATTGAACTTTATTGAATTGAACTTTTTATAATTCAATAACGCATCTATAACTAGTGTTTCCAGTAATGCAAACACAAAACTTATGCTTAATGTTAAACAATGGTTTTTTCAACTATAAACATTTATTTCCAAACAAAAATCCCAACCTAAAAAGGCATAAACTAACGATTTACATATAAATACGTTTATAAAGTCAACAGTTCTCTATCACTTCTCACGCGCCCCAACATCGAAAACGCACAAATCAATTGCAACCCCAATCCTATAAATCAATAAAACACTCGCATTGTTTAGAGCAATGTGTGTTTATATAGAAGTGCATAAAGGGCCCCTCCCCTGTGCTGGGTGGTTTCTTTTACTGTTTTCTGATTACCCCCAAACCTGTACTATCCGACCCCTCAGCCATTGTACGAATGGGCATAGGGATGTACGATAGTGGTTCTATGAGGATTTAAACTTGGAGACTTATTTCGTGTTCAAAATAATCTTGAACATGTTTTTGTTTTTTTGTAATTTCATTGTTGAAAAAGCGTAGAATATTTTGTTTTATGGTAAATTACGATTGCGAAATTTTCAATTCTATTTAGTAAAACCATTGATGGAATTTAACTTCTCGTCCTATGATAAAATATGAAACCTATTTTTGTGTTTTTCATGTCAATGAAGTTTAACCACTAGTGCGGATCAAATATGTTTTTTAATTTTATTTTGAAACAAATTTATGAGCTTTTGCTTAGCTTTTTGGCAGAATGTATACACAATAGCCATTGTTTCTGATTATATCGTTTTATTTTGTTAAAACACTTGTAAAAGTGTTAAATTACAAAAAACAAATAGTAAACCAAATTACTCCCTCTACCTGAAGCCAACGGAACTAAAATTCAAATTCTCTTAAGCATGAACAATATACAAGAGAGGATAATTAATCTAAGCTAAACCACATGTTCAGACGTTGTGATACACAAGTTAACATTTATTAAGACGTTAAGTCAGATTAGGCTATAAGACAACTTTGTTAGTTGTGCATCAGCTGAATTTAAGTTTGGAAACCTTAGGTCGTACGTTTAAAGTGATCGTGATAAGGTTTTTTTTATTTGATTCAAATGCTATTGTTCAAAAGGTAATTTTATGTACTCTAAATTACTATTGTGGTCATCTTCCAATACTTATAGTACCGTAAGTTCATCGTTTCAAAATCTGGTATTCACAAAGTTATCTTTTCATTTTGTGTGTGACTAAAAAGTTTATGAATAAGAGAAAATATGAATTAATAATCGTGCACTGTGGTTCCTCGATTGGACGAAACACTAAAACTGGTAAATTACCAGTGGTAGTGGTAGCAGCCATAAACCACCTTTACTTGATTAAAATTTGGAACTCGAAATGGGATGTCTTATCCATGGTAATTTATATAGAAGTAAAGGCTTAAAAAATATAATCGCTACAGTATTAGTGTCACATACTAAATAACTTTGGGTGTTAAAGACCCTATTATTATTGAAATTCAAAACTGTTGATAAACGTGGTCATTAATTAATATTCTAGCCCGATTGGTGGACAAGATGACGTGAATTCCATCTGATATACTGCGCTTGAGAGCTTTAACACATCTTGTTGATGTCCAAGGATTCGGAATTTAAAGATTTTGAAATTAGCATGTGAATTGGGAGAAAATCAGGTGGGCCGATTTGAATATCTTCAATTTTAAGTAAACAAACAGTTACTAATCGTAACTCTCTAACCTAATTCTTTTTTCATAATTTTGCTCTATATTTATCCATAAGATATCTAGCTATAGATAGCAAAGATCAACTTGTAAATTCATAAATGTTTACAGCTTACTCTCTAAGATATTTTTCCTATAAATAGGCCTAATTTTTTTTTATTGAGATAAGGTAAATTAGTTTTAGCACATTAAAAAATAACACAACTAAAAGCTTTATCTTCTAACTTCAGCTTTTATTTTACAAGAGTTTTTTGCCCTATAGTTTCAATCATATTATAAAGAGAGATTTATTACCTGTCTATTATGTAGCACAAATTTGCACGTCCAAAGTTATTCGTATTAAGTAAAATATTATGATTTCTAAATTACAATGTTTACTTTTGCTTTGTTTACATTTTCGAATTGCTCTATGAACTGCATCACAGCTGATCGAAATAATTAGTTGATTTTTTTCAAGTAAGAAGTAATTCATGGTAATTCCAAAGTTAATGGAAAATATGTTCAGTGGTAACCACCTTTACTTGAGCTTATAGCCCATTTTGGAAGTACGGGAAAATAAGTGTAAATAAATCGAAAGAAACCATAAATATCATGATGTAGTAATCTTGAATCAGGAGGATAAACATGACTTACTAATGTAAATGATATTCAGTTTATCCAGCCGGTCCACTAATCCTCACCATTGCCCATTGGACGACCCGCAGCGTGGAGCCGACAATTCATTCCGACTGTGTTTATAAAATGAAATTACCACTCGCGATGTCAGCTGAACGACTCAATATTTCGCCCATGACAACTTCTTGGACTACCGGACCGCAGTATCAATTTGTTCTGTCGGCGGC